ATCACTCTGTCACGCCTGGTTTATTTTTTATAGTACAGTAACGATCTGTTTATATTATTTTCACACCACGATGAACGTAGAGGGTACCGGATACCAACAATCTTATACTATAAATACACCTCGCCGCATCCCCTCACAATATATTTAAAAACTGGTTGTTTAACGGAATAATCAAATTCGAACTCATGTTCTTTACGGTAGAAGTCAAAGTAGTGAACTACTAAGCCACGACGTTGTTAATAACTGAACTATCTACAGCATTCGACATAATCTTTATAAATAGGTACGTATATATATTTGAAAAAGAAAAAACTAATATTATCACATAACGTACTTGACCCGCAAGTCATTTCCACGTGGATTGCTAGATTTCTTCTTCCTAACCATTTCGCAAAAAACTATGCCGCGGCCATTACGTTTCCGGGTTTCGTATTGCACTCAAATACCATGACATAAGAACGAGTTCGCTTTAACGATTGATATAAACATTATTCATAAGCGTTTACCATTTTTGGTCATAAAGCTTTGTTTTGCACCGTAAAGATGATAATAGTGCGTAATGTTGCACAATTTTCTTTTTTTAGATTGCCGTAATGGCTCCGTAATGTTTTGTTTTGTGAAATATCTTTTTTGTGTAATGTGATTTGATATGAAATAACAATAATGAATTGTGTTATTTCATGTACTTTTAGTTTTTGAATGTTGCAAAGAGCGAATACCATTTAATGTGTAACATATAAAAAATGAAGAAAATATCACCTATATTATATATCTAACATACAAATGCTTCTTTCCAATGCGATTATATATATCTAATATATACTTTAGTATATATTTCCCATGTCAAAAACCACAGAACGAATATATGTTAATATAGATAGAATATACTTTATTTGTAACACACAGTAAAGAAAAAGGCGTTAAAGGACAACATATATCGTTACAATAAGGCGGCCGTATTGCTGAAAGCAATCTTAAGAATGTAATAAGTACGTCGCGTTATCGAAAATTTATCTCTTTTTATGCCGCATGTAATGACAACTCTCGAATAATATAAAGCTACACGTAAAAACTTTAAGCCCAATAATAAGTATAATTTATTGTGGATTTATTTATTTATTATTATTGATGAATAGTTGTGGTACTTAATTAGATAGTTATATATAGTAAGTAAGTAGTTAATATATAGGACTTCAATTTTGTTTGTGTTCCTACCTGTTATATAGGTATTCTCAGAGTATTTAAAATTAATAATAAATAGTAGACTTTGTTGACTGATAGAAAATAAGTTTACACAAAAAGAGGTTTCATGTGCTAACAGTTGCTACACCTACTATGTATTTTTTTAATTAATTACTACATTCCTTGATCTAACAGTAATCCAAACTGGGTTGTACTATGCCTATCACTAACTAAGCATACCAGCTTGTTTTTTATTCACAGTTAAATAAAAAAGCATCGTCGTTGTACTATGGTATCTAAATATTTCATAACTTGTAAAAAATGGGAATTTTTAAAATTTTTAAAAAGTACATGTTGATACACACAAAAAAGCTGACTACTTATATTTCAAACACTATTCTCATATGCTGGTTATAATACTGAATAAAAAATTACATCGACTGCAGAACAAATCGCCAAAATCCGTACAGTTCCGGTCAAGATATCACGTAATATATACACAAAAAACAGATCGGATTAAGTACCACCTTTTGGCAGTCGGTTGAAAAGTGAGAGTTTCTGGTACCACCGCAAAGAAAATTTTACCATGTCACATTTAACGCATCGCTACACTTGATTTCCGTCGGTGTTCAATCTCCAAGTAATTGCTAGCTTTCTTTAGATAATCAACAGTTGGAAATCTCACTATTAAATCAGTACTGGGCATCAGTATCAGTACCTCTATTAAGTACATCAGGATTGTTGAGAAACTCTTTTAATATTAATATATTTGATGTTTCTTTGTTGAACAAATTTTTGAACAATGAACAATAATATAAAAAAAATCTATATACCTTAATAAGCTACATTACACTGTATTAAAATGTTTATCCCATTATAAATTGTTTTACAACATATTGAACAGATACTTTAGTACTTTGTCACAGTGAGATTATCGACTACTAAAAAACTTTAATAAATATTATCAATAATTTGCAATTGTGCCGAGATACAAAACCCATATATATATTGCATATATACCTCGTGATTCTCCTATTATAAATGCTACAATGGTTACAGAATAAATTATGAAGATTGGTCTATACCACCGTATACCGTCCATAACTTATGTCACACGTGATTGTTTCTGTCACAGTCAGTTACATTTGCAACACCCTGGTGTGGCGTTACATTTTAAATTTAGTGATCAAATACTTATACCTACATGTATTTTAACACATTGACGGACAGTAGGAACAAGTATCGTTCAAAAATTAACACTATTGTAATTTTTAGAATATTAGAAGTACAGTCTTACTTTTTCTGCTTAAATAAACTTAATTTTGACACAATTCAAACATGATCGCACTACTCCCTTGGCAACCAAGTGCGTACTAAAGCTGCATACAGGTGGAAAACAAAATTCAAGTTAAAAAATTGACAATAGGTTTCTACTTGTACGCCGGTAAATGCACATTTGTGCCAGTATTGCCGCAGTGTATAAAACCGACCGTTAGGTTTTAGGCGGCTATTGCCATCATGCCACTTCGCTTTGACGGCTATATCCGCAAGTGTTCGTCAACGTGTTAATAAATAGATTTTGATATGTCAAAATTTAGAGCCCTAACACCCCCTTGTCGTACAATGTTTCCTTTTATCGATCCCTTAACCCCCCTATAACCGCCCCTAAACGTATAACGTAATTAAAATGGAAAAATATATTTTAGGGACGCCTTATTTCAATGATGATAAAATAAATAGGCCTGCAATTTACACAAAATAAACATATACGAAATGAAATCGGTATAAAATTGGCAAAGATACTGATTAATATAACCTTTTACAGTAAGTTTTAATAATAAACTAATAATTTACCGCTAACATAATATTAGACAGAAAATAAATACTTTGTTTCAAATTTATTCTACAAATTTACGTGCAAATCAATAATTTTAGTATAAATAAATACTAATCAACATTCAACCAATAAATAATCAGTAGTAAAATCAACACCTACTTTTTGTAATAATTATTCTAAAACTTGAGAAAATATGGAATATCAAATCAACGAAAAATCTAAATATATCGATTTAACCTTAGACCTTTCTATAAAAATAAGTTTACAATTTTAGATAGTTTCTGCTATAAAAAACTTATTTTATGGTACCATAATGACCTCAGTTTCCTTTTAGAGAGGGACAGAACGACAAGTGAGAATGGGAGGAGATGGTTAACGCCACAATTATTACTTTGTTTATAAAATATTCAAGATTTTGTAAACAGCATTAAATGTAGGTCTATTTTTATATCGTTTGTATATATTAGAGACTAAACAAGTGGCATGTGTAAAAACCCAAAGTCAATTATTAGTGGGAGGGGACTGTTTTTAATGGGGATTAGTGGCCCCACATCATTTCAGGTCGAATTCCACACGGTTCTCATTTTTTTATACTACGATGTTGTCAAACAAGCCTGCGGCCCATCTGATATCCGGTAAATGGTTACCGTAGCCTATGGAAGCCTGAGACACCAGAGAAGTTACGTGCGCGTTGCCGACCCTTAAGAAACCTTAAAACACGCTTCTTGAAAAACCCATGCTGTAGTCTCGGCAGGTGGAATGAATGTTCCACAATATAAATATACGCGGGAGGATGCTCCTCTGAAACATCGCACTGTCCGAGACCACTTAGGTTCTAGCTTGTGTGGATGAATTCCCTGTCTCTCCTTGGAGACCATTGCCGTTAATGTTTATTAATCCACCATAATGGGCTAATTGTCCTGGAGTCACGCTCATCCCTATCACTCTGCAGTAGTGCTCCGCCAGTTAATGCCGTTATGGAAAGTGGAAAGCATGGCCTTATTCATGCATTAAAAAAATCTATCAGTTGGAGTATATCAAGAGAGAGAAACTGAGAAAAGGTTTTTCTTTATAATATTATTTAGCATAAAGAATGAGACCGTTGTGACTACATGATTGACTACCCCGATTTATACTGAAACGTCGCGTCATGACATCGAATCTGGTCGATACAAAAAAAAATTAAGTCAATTTATATTTTTAACTCTCCGGCGGTGGAAACAGCAGCAATAAACTAAATGTTGTTACGTAAAATATATTCGGCGATATGTGGTTTATTACGTTACTATTCGTGAACGCAAATACACAATATAGATGGTGAATATACTTTTTTATAATTAAATCAGCGGTTTAGGAACTAAAATTTTAATATACATAGCCATAAGGGGAGTAAGTACATCTCAGTTAATATAATTTTAATTGAACTTCCCAATTAACTTGAAATTAATTTCAATTCATCTGTATTTTCTGTGTTCATCTTCAAATATAAAAGTATTCTCATTATATGCCTCCGACAGAGTTATAAAAGTGTCCTTATGTTTAAAAGTGCACCAAAAAAAGGCCTAATTTAAAACAATAAATCACAATTTGCCATTATTAATTGTATGTATGGACTGTTAGTATTTTTTTTAATATAAATGGAACGACTAACAAGCGAATGACCTGATGATAAATAGACGTCGCGTATATAGACGAAGTCAGTCCAAGGTACCAGTCAGGCATTGTCCTTTCGTAGGATAAGATGTAAATAGGTAGGGCAAAATACCCGCAAACACAGACTACCTAATAAGTGTAATTCGGTAACAATATTATCATTATGGATAAATAACGTGTTCACTACGTTGGGCTAAAGGAGCTAACTTCAGTCTTAGACTGGTGCCTCTTTACCATATTCCGTTAGCACAAATGAATGATAGGATAATTATCATTCGTTGAAAAAAAAAATACATTATAAGTCCAATATATGTATGTATAGACTGACCTGTGACGTGGCCGCGCATGCGAGGTGATATGCCGAACCTCGCGGCCGCCGCTGCTTTCGCCGTCGCTGCCGGACCCAGCTGCGCCTATTCCACCGGGACCACCCACCATTTCCAGCATGTGCGTTGATATGGACTTGCTCACCTGTATCGAATTAATACTAACATTAATGTTTTGTTCTTAAACTGAAATCATAGGCCTTATGTAAAAAATCTCCAACGAAGACAGTACAGTACAATCTACTAATATAAAAAATGTTTTACAAACATCCAGAATTCTTTGCGTGTAAATTTAAATAATATTTTCAAATTGCGCAGTGGTTTAGTGGCTACTGCATCGTTTAAATAAAAAAGTTTATGAAATCTGGTCCATATAATTTGTGTGTCAATATAGTTCTTACTGACTCTCCGTTGATGGAAATACCGTTAACAATCCAAACAAATAGAATAGACAGCAGTAGGCTTGCCTCTCACCACAGTGGTTTTGAATATGCCGACGAAATGTGGTAATTTTAAGTGTCCGGTTAACGAGAAGAGAATTAACAAATCCACTCTACCGGATCTAATTCACAGTTGTAACAATAATGAATATATGTCAGGATAGTTTTTTTTTACTATGTACGAGAATTTAATAAACTTACTATGTTTTTAGTACATGATACGACGGTGTAACAAACGCGTCGCAATCACCCTAAAGGAGACTTCCGGATGAAGTCAACAATAATTGTTGGCAAAGGCGAAACCATAGTTCATTAAATTCCCGCAGTTAGTTTGAAAAATAGTACAATAAATAGCACTAGTTTTAAAAATATAGATGCCTTTAGGATAATAAAAATATAAACTTACAGGTGGAATGTATTTTCTTACGGCTGCCGTCAACTCATCAATATCCCTTTCCTTCTTAGGAGGAGTTTCAATACCGAAGAATTTATTCTTAGCTGCTTGGTTTATAGCTGATATTTTAAGTACTTGTGGCGGTTTTTCTTGTATTTGCGGCGGAGGAGGTGGCGTTTTATCCGCCGGCCTTCTCAACTTCCCTAGCTGTATAGGCTCATCGAGTTTCTTAACAAATCTTCTATATCTAGTACTGTCGTCTTCTTTCTTTGCCTCTTCAGAAGGTTTCCTTCCCAATTTTGCGAGTAACGGCTTCATTTCTGGATTTTTCACTTGATTCAGACGTTCCTTCAACTCATTCGCTCCTGGTAACTGTATTTTGCCAGGGTAACGATCCTGGAGTCTTGTTAGATCTGAATCTGTTCTGGAAGACTTCAACTTATTGCTCTTACGTTGGAATCTCCTTGGTTTCGGTCCTGGAATTTCGTCTGAACTGTCTGAAGAGGAGCAACTCTTCTCTGATGACGACACACTGGATGCAGAAGATTCGTCGTCCGATGAGCTGTCGATGCCCTCATCTTTAAGTCCCTAAAATAAATATTATATTCAAAATTTAACATGATTATAGAGAAAATAAAGATTTCACGCAATAGGAAATATTGAAAAAAATATTTAAACTGCATATCACATAACACTAAAAAGTGGAAATATAATCTGACGTATCCAAAACAATGTATAGACTACATATATTATTCATGATATACTTTCCATAAAAGGTAACAGGGCTGTCAGTAATGAACAAACTGATATATCTATCAGTTAGACTATGATCTAGACATTGGCTTACAGAGTAATAAGCAGTAAGTAAGCTTATTTGTCATGCATTCTCATTGCCGAAGATTCAAGCGCCGATACGATAAGTAGGAACTATCTCTCAAAAGATAAGAGAATGCACTTGCATAAACTGAATAATATAATTAACAGTCAATTCATATTATAGAAAATTAGCGATCAAATTTGATGAGATTTTTTAATGACTTTGTATTAAGTTGCCTGTGTGGGTACTTGTGTTTCACCCGTATCAAACGCCCAGTAGCTTGCTTTGTAAGCTGTGTTTCGATTGAAGGATATAACATGGCATTAAATTTACGGTGTATGAAAGCATGACACGTCAGACTTTCGTAATGGCAACCCAAGCCATTTACCATCTGTTGATCTGGTAGCTTGTTAATTCAATTAAAAAACAAAAAAGTACCTATGATACTTCTCAATCAAAACCATGACAATCACTTTATCAGAATGCTTTTATAGCATGTTTATTGTTGCTTAAAATATATAAAATCTCACCTCAGAACTTTCACCCTTCGCTAGAGTTTTCGGTTTCGTAGGCACTACAGTGGTCCCCGATTTCAGTATGCCTCGTACTTCAGGCGTGATCATCCTCTGTGCTCGTTCTGATGGGGAATCGTCTTCGAGGTCTGAAATCAAACACAGATTAATTAATATAGATACTAAATTATACAGTACCACAGAAACGTGCATGACAAAATCTCGTGAGCAAACGCGTGGTACAAAATGTTATGATAGTGTTTAGAAACAAGTATTGTTGGCAAAATACTCAAGTCATACATTGAATTGTGTTGGAATGTTATATTTACTGCAGTAAGCATATAAAACGTAAATAATGTTATGTTGTTAGTAGTATATATTTAAAAAAAATAGTAGTACATAGTAATTCAGAAAATTACATATTACCCATGCCAGGAATATAAAAATCCTTTTTACTAATGATAGTAATACTAAGCCTCATCTATAACATATTTTTTTATATAAAGATATACCAATTAGGGTATATAAAATAACATAAGTACTCAGACATATTAATTTATAAAATCAGATTAGAGTTTTTATATTCAGGGTTGAATTTCACACCGGATTAAAACAAAAATAAATAAGGAATACTTATATATCATACAGTTACATAATAAGGAATCTACACTATGTTAAATTAATAATTCGAATGCTAATCTGGGTACACATCCAAAACTAAATGAGCCTGAACCGATGTCACGCAAAGTTTGATTTCATTGCGAAGTTACCGGGTTCACTGAACCGAATACGACCGAGTTACTAGAGCGCTGTAGTAATAAAGTTTAATACATTTTCGTATATACAATAAACCAATAACAATCTCACAGCACAGATTGTCGAATACAAAAGCTCAAGGTCAATACAATAATAAACGAAACATAATAACTATACTACATAGTTAAGTAGTAAAAAAATACCTAACTCTATGTATTACCTATACATGTCACACAATATCTTAAAAAAATACAAGTTAATATACAGAAAACAGAAAAGAAAGTTAGTAAGTTCTTAACTATACGGCCTTACCGAGATTTATATTCGATACTGTTTTTATCGGAAGCTTAATAATATTATAATAATAAGAATATAAACTTAATATTATTATACAGTATACTATCATATACTCTAAAACATCTATATATAGAAGAGGATAAAGTGTCTACATTTTTGCCTGTATAAAAAGTCAAAGTTATTCGACTATCGTGATTATAGTAAACAAAATACTGACTAGTCCATAATTCAATGAGCACTTCATAATAGATTGGCAGAAGCCGAAGCCATTGTATCATTAACTGGGTTACTAGAAATTCAATCTGACATAAATACAAAGTATTAGTAACCGTAAGACTCAACACGCGACTATTTAGGGTTTGAGTCAAGACGGTAAATCACTAGGTCACGATACACACTAAACATATAAACTATAAAGAATATTATTTTTGGTGTTGATATACTGATTTTCAAACGTAGGTAGAAGATAATTTAATACGACGACCCGGTCAAAAATCTTGTAACGTGACTAATGTACTGAGTAAACCTATGACTACAGAGCCCAAAATAAATGTTACACAATAAATATAGCTGGTGGATAATGATTTATGAGATGCTGTGTTGCCATTTTCTAAGGTCCAGTATATACATTGCATGCGGTCAGTAATACCAAATAAAACATTTTTATTGTTCTCATCTGTTCACAACTATAAACTAAATTAATCAACTTAGTCTGTGCTACTTGTGTGTTTACAAAATAGTATAAGGTCGTACATATGTATCATGGCCCAGACACATGTATCTGTTTATACTGCACATAAGATCGTATCTGCAAATAACTACGCATAATATGATCTGCAGGTTATACATAATAATATATGTCCATGTAGACTTGCATAACGCCATACTACAAGACATAGCACGCCCAATCAAATCAGTTACAGACATATAGTAGTACGTATATAATGTATCTGAGTCATGTACAACAACCTTAAAAGTAATAAAATAATTCAGCAAACCTGAAATTAAACAGAGAATCAACATTACACTAATATTACCTTTAAAATATATACACAGTAAACTAAATAGGAGACATGATAGTTTACACTAGTGAAAGATCTAATAATGTTACGGAAAAAGTGGCAAATATCTTTCGTGCAATGTTAATATATCATGCAACTGGAGAAATACATCTTACCTTCTAACCTGAATAGGGAAAAATATTAGTGCTGGACCCAAAAGCAGCGACTCAAGCTTAAAAACGACAACCAAAACAAAAAAGAACAAAATCAGACCTAAGCTTCTAAACTTTGCGTTCTGCCGCATCAGATACTCTAGGGAGGTGTTCTTTGCGCTCGCAGAACGAAATAGCTCCATTTTCAACTGGAAATCGGGGTTACGTGGCACTTCTTCGTGGGTCAGAGACTTGGTCAATCTCTCGTTCTGCTCCATTGCTTCCTGTACTTGACTAGCTAATACAGGCATGGTTCTCAGTCTTGACGTTCGGGGTACTCTCTCCTCTTTGGGCCGCGGTAAACCCGCCACAGGAGGTTTGTGGGTTAATTTTGAGTTGAACATCTTCATTTTCTCCATAATGGAAAGTTTGGCTGGATCGTCCTCGTCTAACTTAGCTGCCACCAGTGAGTTTGTGCGTATTTACATAATATTGTGCGTTTGTGTTTACGATAGAGCCCAGGACATACACATAGTAGAGTCGAGGACATGCAAAAAAGAAACAAAAGCCGACAATCAAAAGACGGGAAGCTCTTTTGTTTTCTGTTCAAATAATGCAAATTTACATGCGTCTAATTTAAACATTATGTGACAAATAATTATATAATTTGGAATAGCAAAATAATAACAAAAAATATAAAAAAAAAATAGAAATTAATTGTACTTAATAGAAACAATAATACATTTAAATGTTACAGTATTTATGCTTACCATCTTCATCCCTGTCCAAAACGTTGGCAGTACTCTTGGACTGGGCGAGAGAAAATCCTTCTTTAGAAGGCTCAGGGACATCGGACGTTGAGAAAGAAATCGGTTGGGTCTTAAAGCGGTCGGCCACCGACGATGTTTCCTTGTTTTTGGAGCGACTGTGGCGGATCAGCGGCTTTGGTGTTCCTGAAATTATTAAAAGTTGATATTAGATCTAAAGTGCTTAAATAATGTGATATTTGTAATTTGTTAATTCTTCCCATATTCATTTTAATTTCAAGTCTATAACGTTACAAGAAGAAACCACATAACCACTCAGGCGTAGGATAAATTAAAAGTTAACGAATCAAATATTTAAGACTTATATTACCCACCTACATATTTACTGATTTTCCTATAATACAATTTTTACGCAATGTATATTACACGCAATGTACACCATACACAATATATATATATATAACTGAGAACTTTATCAAACATTTTGCAAAAGGTAGGAAATTAGTAAATTTAATATTTTTTTATAATTCGGAGGCAATTTCACGATTATTTTCTAAACTCAAATTGTTTTTTTTTTAACAATATTGTTGAAATGAGTCTCTTCTAAGGAAAAGGTAAATATAGTTTGTTATTTGACACGCCGGTATGAAGTCGTTTACACGTGGAATATTTAATAAGAAAAAGCGAGTGAACGCGGTAAAACGTATCAAGAATAAACACATCAATATATTAGTATTAAAATATATATATTTCAATCAATTTACGAACGGTGACTAAACTAACTATTTTAAGTAACATTGACTTATAAATAGTGTAATTTTTAAATTTACACACACAAGACATAAAACACCTAAAAATATATGTAAACATATATTCTGACGAATTTAATTATCAAATTTATATTTGCCAGACTCCTCACTAAATCTAGTTAAATCGGGAACCACCTAGAATATCTTTAAAATACGTGGAGAATTAGAGAAGTCGATTGTTTATCAAATAAAAAAAAATTACAACTAAATAGAAAACAAACTCCGCCTTTTTTATACATTAGGCATATTTATCCTTCTTTGATATACAGGCACTAGCTGTATATCAAAGAAGGATAAATATCATTAGTGATGCAATGTGAAATTATTTTCGTACTAAGAATATGTGTAATTTACGAAATATAATTACTACACATAAACGAGTTACTAATATCAAACAAATTAAACTAAGCTGTAATGTATTGCTTCAAATCACTTCAAAATTTAGAAATTGTTTTCAAATAATTCAAACTAAATTTCAATTAAACATAAGTTATTACACGTTACTATTTCAAGGTTTCTAGATTACGATCAGCAATAGATGTAATTCCAGAAACATACCTAAGATAGGAATTGAGACGATACTGTATTCTATTTTTCGATATAATAATTAATTTCATGTTGAGTTTAATAGACATCTTGATTTAAGGTCATTATATCATCCAAGATACCTACAAAATTAATCATTTTATGAACTGAGAAATTTGAGAAAGTAATTATTAATTCCTGAAATATAAAAACTAGCTACTACCACATCATAGTGACTAGTATTGATCTACAGTGAAATTGGTTTATTATCGAAAGTATAAAAAACTGAAAGACTGAACTGAGCGACTCATCCCTAAACACCATGGAAGCCTAGTTTTACTTCACTACTAGCAATGAATCCTGTCCTGACCTAGAGATGATTATAGTAAATGCCGCCCAGAGTTGAGTGTGTAATGCTATGGAAAACACTTATTTTTATCAAGAGTTTTGATATTAAGAGTATGCAATTGAACAGCTGTTATTGCGAACCGTACATATAACTATATTTATATCTACAAGTGTAAATTGATTTTGTTTATAATGGCAAAATATTTATTAGAACTTCATTCATTTCAAGGGCGATACATCAACAAGTTCTATTATTCTTCAACGAAGCAGAGGCATGGCTAAATCATGAGCTCCCAGTAAAGATCATGTCATAGATCAGGCAATCATTTAATTAACAACGAATAAAAACTACTATCAAGTGGTTGATAAAAAACATAAAACATATCACCTTTAGCTTGCTGCTGTAACTGTTGCCACATACTAGCTCTGGCCACCACGCTGTTACTTTTCACAAGTCCCAATGCGAAGCCACTATTTTCGGCATTATCATCATCGTCGCTAACCAGATCTTCAGGACTCCTCGCCACCTCGGTTTCTGTGGACCTTCTCACTCGATCCATGTTGAGAAGACCTCTCTCTATAGAAGACGACGACCACTCGTTGCTACTGCTGTTTGTAGCTTGATTCTCTCTAATTTCTTGACTCTCAATCAAGCCTAGCTCTTCGCCTGGAATCAGAAAAAAATTAATAATTAGCTATTGATAAAATAATTATTAAATACTTTTTCAAGAATATTATTATAACATGCTATTGATGTTTTTGTACTTTTATAAATTGTAATTATAATAATAAATTTGAAGTGCGGTGACTGGAATAAGTTACAAATCGCACTGTGTTTTTAGCAAGTCATCGTATTATTAACATCCATAATCTTTGTTGTGGAAGTGCGTACAATATTGCCAAAGGGGCAGTACACTGGAATTTTGGCACTAAAGTCGGGAATACACAAATACTTATAAAACAACTCACATTTTGTTATCCAGAAGTCGGAAACGTGATAAATAAGTATTTAAAAGAACACCTGGTTGTGAAATAAATATAACACTCGATGGGAACTACTGCGTTATGCTTGGCAAACAGACCATATATCATTGCGTCATATCGCTTGTAATGAGCGATATGATTTTTAGATGTATTATCCCTAATACCATTATTTTTTGTATTTTACTTGAAATCATATTTGAAATGTTTATACCTACTATAATCAAAGGCTAAATTTATAAAAAGATATGTTATGAGATTCAAATAACAGTTACAATAATTATTTGACACATACCATGTGGATTACATTGACCCAAATATGTCATGAGACATCCACAAGGTTACAACGTTTATTTTAAAAACGGTCCTAATATGAATGGCGGCATATTCAGTAAATCTAAATTTACCAAACGGCAACATAAACAAACCGCGGGCTAATGCAACTCGACTTCTCTCATTACTTCCACATGACTATGTCAAAGTGTACGCTTCGATACAGTTGTGCGATTAGACCATATAAACAAGCTGAAAGTTGTTTGCATTGCATTACATGTACGCATGTTGCGATAAAAATATTTTTACGACCATAATGAAATAACAGCAACAGTTTCTTGGTAAATAATATTCAAAAGACTGACTTACCTGAATGAGGGCCAGAGTCTCTAGACGAAGCACGATTATACACTCCGCTATCACAAGACACATTCAAGCTCCAGTTGTCTGCTTCGGCTTGTTGTCTCTCGTCTTCGTCCAAAGCACGACAGTCTTCATCTAATGCAACGCGTACTTTGTTTACTTCTTGCTCTATTTGGTCCAATGTTGATCGGTTTTTTTCTTTTTCGATATCTAGAAAGGTCGCCTCGCCGAAACTATCGTCCTTGACATGCGGGCCGTCCTGTATCCCGTTGACGAGCGGATCTTTGATGCTGAAAGAACTGGGTGCGAAGGGAGGCGAATCCAACGTCTTTCCGAAGTCTGTAAAGAGATCTCTCTCGGGTTCCCCCGCAAAGGGGCCCCTATTGGAGGGAGCAACACCGGACTCGACGGGACGACTCGGAAAACTACAGCCAGCAGGGCCGAACGCTTGGAAACTCACTTGGCCCGGCTCCAAACTGCGAAATGAGAAAAGAAATGCGTTAATGTGGTGCGCTTCCCTGGGTAAGAAAGAGACGGTTGAAATTTCAGTTCGCCTTTGTAATTTTCGATGAATTATGGTATGAGTGATTGGATTGGCGTCGCCGATCTATCGTTTTATGGAAGTTTGACACCATCGACCATATAATCTAAATATAAATGTTTACTTCCAGCTTCGTAGCAATAGATCTTAATGAATGATTGAACTGGAATCTAAGCTATAAACGTCAAAATAAATTATTATTATCAACAAAATATTATTGAAGAAATTGTCTACGTGAAATCCTCGAGGTATTTATTATATAAGTGCCAATAGCAGACAAGGATAGTACATATTAAAAAAAAGCAATAAAATGATAATATTTTACAAATAAAATAATTATCGTTAAATTTTACTAATAAAAATCTCGAACCGTATATGCGACACATATCACGGAATGTATGCCGACAGTTGAAAATCGATATAACATCCATCCCTTGTATTTATTTACTTATTAAGTGAATAAATCAGTATAATCTTTTTGTCGTAAAATTTATGTCAAGCCCCGACCTATATAAGTCAAATTTATTCAAGCCTCAATTATCATGCAAATTGAAGGGCTGGATTGTATGTTATACTTATAACAGATTCTATTGTAAACAAAATATATTAAACATTCTTTATTACTTACTGCAAATATTAATTAGATTATACATATACATAACATAACAGAAGAGCATAGACTCAAAATCCTAATCAGTTTACGTTTTTATAAAACACCGTGTGCTTATATTTTACTCTATTACATTAATTATTTTTGACATATTTACCCAAGTTAGCTAAATACCAAAAGGCTGATATTTACCATAACTATGCATCAATTGCTTTCTGTTTTTACTAAATGGTTAGCTGGTAGATAATGTCACATGGCATTAAAATGGCCAATTGTAGAAATTTTTGAATGAATGCAATAAAAAAATATATATATAATATTCTATTATATTTCAATTGATACACTAGTGTAATAAATATGTTCTGAAAGTCACTTATTATGTTTCTGTATATACAAAAAATAATTAATGTTTGTTAATCACAAATGATTTTTCACTAATTTTTATTTTAAAATATTTGTAGAAGTCCAAATAAGGTTTAAGAGGTGAGAATACATGAAAAGATTGCAAAGATAATAGTAACATTTTTTTAAGACAAAACAATTACTACGCCAGCAATAACAATCTCAATATCATAGATGAGAAATCTGCCATTATGGCTCATAAAAGTAAACGCCCTATTCTTTAGCCCTTGAGACACCCCGAGGCCAAAACTCGTAGTCATAAAAGAAGTAAATACAATATTTGACTCAATAAAACAAACCTAAATAAGAACGTTTAAAGATTGGATTACTCTAAAGATGATTGATGATGTCCATACAGACGATCGACAATCTATCGGCTTCAATCAGAGTGGCAGATCAGACAGCCATAAAACTGCGGGTGCGAGTACAGTCGATCCAGAAATAAAGCTTGACCCACTAACTGGAGTATTTCCGACATTAAACCGGATTGGCATACCACCGGTTGATCTTGTCAGTGATGTTAATTTGCTAAATTAATACTAATGTCCATTTAAGTATATTTGTATATTCCATATGATGAATGTGCTAGTATCGCAGTTATGAAAATGTAATGAATAACTTATACAGGGGAATTTACAATTTGTATTTTTACTTTTGTTTGTATAAATTATAGCGAGGCTTTGTATTAAACTTCAAATAGGAAGATGATATACATAAAAAAAACATTTTAAATAACGACTGTAACTCATTCATTCATTCATAATTTAAGAGCTACGCTCTTGGCGGTGGAGCTCTTGCCACTTTCCGCGATCTTCCATCATGCTCTTTAATTCTTGATACGACACAACTCCCATTTTGTCCTCAATTTGTTTGATGTAGCTATTCCTTGGTCTTCCCCTCCCCCTCTTTCCTTCTATTTTCCCCTCAATAATAATTTTCATAAAATCATCGTGCCGTATCAAGTGTCCTAACATATTTCCTCGTCTATTTTCTATTGTGTTCAATATCTGCCTTTTTTCTTTTACCCTGTGTAGTACTTCTTCGTTTCTTACTTAACTGTAACTACTTCACTACTGTAACTACTCGGTAATATAATTCATTTAAAAATCATAGAAAATAAGGATGGGTGAAAAACGTAAATTTACTTGCTATATCTACTTTTACGTTGAAACTAATAATCTCAGTACACTTATTGTCAAAGGGATATACTGAATTTTTTGGTGTGAAAAGTTTTTAAAGCCATCATATTAAAAAAAAATCGATATAAATTGGATAAAATATCGTAAGGTTCGAAAATTTTTCTAAAATATAATTACACTCACGCGTTTTTATTTTCAAATTTATTAATTATCTAATACCCATAATCTAACAAGGTAGTGAATAAACTAATTAATGTAACCGTTTAGAATAAATTAATACAGCATTTTGAAACTTGTTAAAATTATTAAATAAAAAAAATCCTACAGAATATTTGTTCTGATTAAAATGTACACAAACGCAAAACGAAGGCAAGGTACACTAACCTACATTGCACTAGTAACGGAATACTTACTATTCTGAAAGTGGACGATCCATTATGGAGCGGTACATAACGATATATATACACAGGTCACACAACAGTAAATAAACAATAAATACAATAGATATTTAGAATAGACTAAATAAGTACGATACAGGCGTTATCGTCTAGTGAACTGAACAAGATGATGTCAGACAACCGAAAATTAATACAAATTTGTTTACTAACCACATGTATTGCTAATTAAATCGGTTCGAGGTTTCATCAGTATTTAAGGATTAATATTCAAATAACTAAAACTCTGTCGAATCGAATAGTTCGCCTATAATTTTCATTATTATAACACAACCATTTAGTCAATTGTGAAAGATTTTTAATGTTACGAACATAAAGCCTGATCCTTTCAAACAATATAAGGATTTCCTCTTTATAAAACGAACTAGAAATAACTGCAATGAGTAATATCTCATCAAGACATTAAATTGTATACAGGTCGGAACAAAACATTTGGCGTGGGCACACCGCCCGCCCGCCCATCAAAATAATGGCGATGAGCCAATATTCGATGTCTAAAACACCGGGTTTGTGCAGAGCACAATCACCTTTGCTCGAGAAACAGCATGTTTAAGGAAGTCGCTCTAAAAAGAACTAGGAATATTTAGCAAAAACAAACCAAAATTTGCTTAGAATTGAAAAAGATGTCTGCAGATAAAAACTATCTTCTATTAACAATACTGAGGGATAATACTATGTATATAAAAGTTGTACATAAACAACAAAGAAAAGAATAAAATTGCAAATTAAAATGTAAAGAAAATAACATGACTCACCTGGAAGTAATAGAGCGCATTTCTTCCACTGTGATAGGTTGAGTTTTAAAGCGCTCTTTATCACGTGTTTTAGATTTTAAGGTTGAAGGGTCTCTTCCCTTTACATCGGTAAGTGCTTCTTCCATACTTTTTATTCGTGCAGCTATTGATGGAAATGCATCGAGTTTGTTATCGCCTTCACCATCTATACAATTTTTCTGCTCCCACGGATCACTATTCCCGTTTTCACAATTTTTATCCACTTTAATTCTTCTATTATTCAGTATTGAAAGCAATTCATCATTTACATCACATGCTAAACTTTTAGATCGGGGATTCGATTTCGGTCGGAGATTCCTTCTCCGGAGAACCGCACTTGGATAGGTTTCTTCCGGCTCGAGCGCGAGATTTAGTACTCGTCGCGGTCCAGCCGCCAACAAGTCGTTCGCGTCGCAACTGAAATTCGTCACACTAATGTTTGTATCGTTGTCCGCGCAAAATGAGAGACGCGGGCGCGGGGATTGGCTACGTTCCCTAGTAAGACTCGAACCTCTTTGCTTTAAAATAGGTTTAACCGTTGCCTCGCATTCTGATCCAGATTGATCTGAAGTCCGGGATCTCAGAAGTGAAGGTCTACGTGAGCTTCTATCGTCTTCACTCAAATCAAAACTAGAAGTATGTCCTTCATCACCGGACAATTTTTTAGATGATTTAAGGATTGGTTTCTTCGGAAGATCAAATTCATGATCTTCATGTTCTGTGGATTTTTTCTTTAGAATGGGTTTTGGTGTATCACATTGCAAAACCTCGAGACAGGGTCTTTCCTCAGAAAAACTTTTTTTCTTTAAAATTGGTCTTACAATTTCTTTATCATCATCAATTATTTCGGCGCCGCCAGCAGCTGCTAAGAGAACAGCTTGTGCAATAGACACATGAGATGATGTGGTGCTGCTACTCGAACTAGAATTGGATTTACGTTTTAAAATACCATGTGGTTCTGGGGAGCCATGAGATATAACTTCAATTGTATGATCTTCTTCTCTGCTCATTTTTCTTTTCAATATACCTTGAATATGACCATCAGGCGATCTATTTCTTACAACGTCCTCTAAGGATGATCTTCTGTTTTTTAATATAGGTTTATTTGAATCTAGCGATCCGTCATCTGCAAATGAAACTTCAGGGCTACATGATCTTCTCCTAGCGACTTGAGACTCGTCTAAGCTACGGCGTTTCTTTAGTATACCTTGACGTTGTCTGTTTTCAAACCGACAACTACGAGGTTCTATAACATTTGGAGAAAATGTTACTGGTGGTGAAGCTATGGCCTGATTAGCTGTACATATAGCATTTTCTTCGTTTATAGACTTTCTCTTTAATATAGAAACAGGTGTATGACTATAAGACGACATCGAATTATCGAGACGGCGGTTTTGACTAGACGTATCATCACTGAGATCAGAAAATATTGCACTTTGCTTTTCAAAGTCAATCAGTCTCTGAGCGGCTCTGTCTATATCCTGCAATCTTTCGGATACTCCTCGGTTCTGAACTGACCTCTCATTATTAAGTCCATAGTTAATAGTATGGTCATTTTTTTGTTCCGAGTTTGATGCAAATAAACATTCGAAATTTGATTCAGACGCGTCTAAATTTAACCTATTACTATTTAAATTATTTGATAATTTGTTAACTCTATCTAAAGTCTGCTTCGTCAATGCAGCTAAACTATCCATCTCCTGGGATAGTCTAGAATTACTGGCATGAGGTCTAACTGTTTCGTGAAGAGTAGACATATTTTCAATGCCTTTCGTTTCTTCTATACTCACACTAGCGTCAACTTTATGATTACCATACGAATTTTGCTTTAATACATTTTTGGATGAGGAGTTCTTAGTGTCATTCTTGTCTCTTGGAGAATTATTTTCTAAACTAGTCAGTCTTTTCTTAGAATAATGATATTTTTCACTAAGACTTTCACTACCTTTTTGAGCTCGATGTCTTCTATCGTTACCACTATTCTCAGTATCACTTTTAGACTTTTCTGGACTCTTACGTATCGGTTTTCCTCTATGAGAATCAGTTTTTAACTTATCCGATTTTTGCGTGATTATTGTATTTTTATTAGGAGATGTAGAAGTGCGAATCGGTTTTTCTATAGGTTTTTTAGATAAAGGTATACAACTAGGTTTAGAGCCAATGTCGGAACTACGCCGTCTCTCATTAGATTTTGAAGCGACAACGTTAGAAGTTGAAGATTTGTGAAGCGGCGACTTAATTCCAAACGGTAAATTAAAAGTACTTTTAGGAGATACTCTGGAAGACGGCAGTGAGTTTTCAGTCTTAGGAAGTGATGTGTGTGATTCAAGGGATCGACGATTTCTTGTTCTCGTGGCACTTTCTGAAACAAAAAGAAAATATAACTTAAATAAAGAGAACCATCACATATATTTTGTTTAATAAAATTGTACTTCAACTAGTGTATAAAAACGAGGATAAATCACGGCCAAACAAACGGAAGTATAAACTGTTGAACCGTACGTGTGCATTGTTCTAAACAAGTTCAGTGACTGCAGCGAAAATGCTGATTGGCGTGACATTTCGCACGATATGGCCTTTTGGATCTATTGTTATTATACGCTGTTTTGCTCATAGTCTAATAGCAGGGTTAGCTATATAAACTATTACAATACGTTTTTTATTACGTATAAGCAGTGGATACGTACATAAGTAAATAATTAAAAATATATTATTTCATAAACATCAATTTTTTCAGTAGGTGGAGTAACATGTTTATCACTCGCCACTTGACTGACTAACAAGCCTGTGGGTTTTGTGGTTAGGAACCGCAATATAGAAGATCCTAACCGTATATATATATATAGAAGATTATAAATGGTATGAATTAACTATAATTCTCATTACGTGAAATGTACTATGTGATACATATTATTTAAAATAAGTAAAAATATTATTCTCACGTTGATAAAATTCCAGATAAAACATTCAATCTCAATAGATTGAATCATATTTAAACATAAGGTAATAATTCAATTATTATCGTACCTACATATAAATAAAATTATTAATATCTAGAGTATATAGCTTATAAAGTTGTACCTATATTCACACACAATATTAGATTGTATTATGCTACATACAACATGTAATGCTACATAAATTCATAAAATATATTAAAGGTTTATACGGGGTATTATGATAAAACTAGATAATAATATAAGTAGGTATATTTACTTAGACAAAGCTTTGACAAACACTAGTTTCAGCTTATCTTGACAGTCCATTAGTGGGGACACCGGATGTATCTACTTACTTTTGCATATAGCACTTAATAATGTACCTAGAGCTTTATTAATTAGGTTACATATTTCTTGACTCATATCCGTTTCATCCATGCGAATAAATTTCAACAACATTGGCGAAATATCATTTCAACAGTTGTCTAGGAACACTAGTAGATTAAACACTACCCTAATCTGCAAAGCAATACGGCCGTGTAATTAAATAAGCAATGTTAGTATAATAATAGTAACATAATTCTAATATTATAAAACTGATATATTCGCATAACAATTTTGTAATTTATATTAATCACATGTAACTTGACTATAAAATGATTAATTAGCGGACTTATTTTATTTTACGTTTTTCATAATTTAAGACATAGTTTCGGAAAAAATCTATTTTAACCTTAACATTTTTTTAAACTTACTTATGTAGTATATCTATGAAATATGGAAATAGTGGCTTGATAATTTATATATCCATATCCCAGATTTTCTATATACAAGTAGCAGGTCTCTATCTAAAATCTGAGATTCGAAACACAGAATAAAGCTACAAGTACTCATGGGATGCACAGAACATTAAATATGTGAAAGGGAATAGTGAACGAAAAACTAAATAAATCTCTTACAAGATGTAGAACTAGATTGTGGTCTTAAATATAACAAAATATTTATGTATCACACATATTTGTTTTACTTTGTAGGCGAAAACATACAACGAAATGTTTGTAAATTCAATTTATATAGACAAAAAAGGAAAGCTGGCTTTAATTTAAGCTACTTCTTCAATGTCACATTTCCCGCGTTTTTACACCATTTTTAATTGTATTGTCTTTCCTATTGGTCTTAGTTTGATGTTATATAGCTTATAGGCTGCCATAAATATGTTACTTAACACTAAAAGATTTTTTATAATTAGCGGAGGTTATACCGAACATCGAAACTCACAAACTTTACATCTTTATAATATTTCTATATAATATAATTTTTAGACTGATAGTCGTAACGGAGAACTGTTTTATAGCGAAGTCTGCATCATTATTTCAAGAGGCTCTCAGTTGGTAGCTGGACCGATATGTAGATACACAGAACGCGGTGCAAGGCAATTATTTATCTCTTATATTTCAAAACATATATTTTTTATGGTTGATAATGGAATCATAATGATCAAATTATAGTAATATTATACTATGTAATATATGCAAAAACATCTACAATATATATTCCAACAGTAGCAGTACACAGTTCTATATCCTAATTCATGCTAAACTCTGACGTCACAACCGTACATTAATTTAATTCATTACGGCACTAGAAATAATTACACTGTGACATACCCCAGTTTTTGTTAGTAAGCGGACAATTACTGCTTTGACACAAAACAGTTCCGTGAAAGTGGTTTGTGTGTAATTCACTTCAATATTACATTTCTAAGAATCACTTGTATAGGTAGTCCCATTTTAATTTATTACGTGACACTGACTAATATACTAATAGTTGTTAAAACCTTTTAACCAATTTTCCAAAGAATGCAATCGATACATTCTATGCTAGTTTTTTTTAATGCGAAAGTGTGTCTATATATGATTGTTGTTTATCGGCTGAAAAGATCTTAATAAAATTTTACATAAAGATAGAATACCTATATTACTAGGACGGACATGGGATAATAATATACGTTTGTTTAAAAAAAATGTTTAGGAATGAAATAGTGGAAGAAAATGTGTACAGACAAAGTAGCAGATAACAGATATTATATATATATATAAATTCCATTACGATTAAAATGGATTTTCTTTGTAAAGACCTAGTTTCTTGTCAATAACCTCACACCGTAGTTCATAAATTATATATAAATATAATAAAAGCTACTTAATTTTTTTAGTTTCAAATTTAATATTTTGTTTAACAATATTTGATTTATATACAATTAGAGCTAACTAAAACTTTAATCTGAGTATATATTGGCCATATATCTCAAAAAAAAATCTTTATTTGCTTTTGAAGTGCACATTTTTTTATTTCCAAAGAATTCTATTGTATCATTGATTTTACTAAATTACAACAAACTTACTTTAAATAATATTAAATAAATATCAGATAGATAATAATGTTAATAAATTTAGATTAAAAAATAAACGTTTATGTAAATAAACTTGTACGTATACCTATCTGGAAGATTAAACTTTTCGAAACCCACTCGACTTTGAATTTCACATTCAAATTTACAGATTTCCATAATGCTATGCTATTATTCGTCATGTGTCAATCCTTTCAAATGTAACAATAGTTAATCCTTAAAATGGAATGTACTTAATCGTACGTTATTGTAGGTACAGTCCGCTTTATATAGCTTGTATTATTATTACACTAGCTGAGCCCTTGGCTTCAGTCGCGAGAAATTTATTGCATACGTGATATTTTGATGTATAAACTATATTACATATATCTATACATACATCCATACTCACAAATTTTAGTAAGATAACCATATTATTGTTATCAGCTCCAGTTATGTATCCTTTGAATATAAAGTAAAAGAGTACAATAGCATTCAATCCATTTGACCCATATTTCTGTGTATAGTATAGTGCTGATGGCGACGGTAACTATTTAAAATCAATTAAAAAAATATATTGTAGAATAAAGCAATATACAACATTCTATTTTTAAATAATGTTTTGATTTACCGTTGCTCCATTTCCCTTATTTTATGTATTTAACTATATTACTAAGAATAAAAACGGTTTCTTGACTATGTGTATGTTTTCGGTGCCTTGACCAGTCGAACAAATATTCGTTATTTGTTTCTTTATTATATATATATATATATCGATTTATTACAAGCATAGATTTACATTAATGACTTCATGATCTTAGAATAACAAAATTACTAATAATGTGTAGTTATGGAAACTATTTTTGAAAAACGACTAATAAAACAATGAGGAAAAATGTTGTACGAATTCATACTAACTTCTATGAAACAGTTTATTTTGTGCGCTTTTGTTCGTTTGCAAAATACAAACTAGACTGTAGACATTTCAAGTCATAAATTTTGATTGTAAGCACTAGTAAAACAAAACAGCAAAATTTACAGTTTGTGCAATATAAATAATTGTATTTGCGTCAGAATTCCGTAGAAAACTATAGCATTGTGTACAATAAAATGATTCAGTCAATCACATAGTCTGTCAATTTCAGACTCAAAATGCGTAATTATAAACATCTGTTCACCATATCTGATGAATTTGGGTATAGAGATAGATTTAATCTTGCTGAAGGACCATCATTATAATCGTCTATCTTATTTATATCGTCTTCGTAATAGAATAATACATATTGTTTGTAACTTTTGACTACTAAACGGTTGTATGGATCAAAATTTTATTAGAGATTTGACTTAGAGGTACAATCTTCAAGTCGAAGATTGTGTCTCTAAGTCGAATATAGATTATCTTTAATCAATCAATTGTGCAAATCCGAATATCGTACAACTACATAGTAATATGTAGGCTCTACACAAGTACTTAGTATTTAATGACTTGAACTAGAAATTATTTAGTTAATTATTCCAGAATCTATTGATTCTGGAATAACTTTACACTACATACAACTTTATACTAAATATTCACCAAGAGAATGTCCCGTCCCATTATAATATAGGTTATTATAATGGCTCAGTTGACAGTATACAATGTTCAGACTTATGTACCATAAAACGCGGTTAACGAAATATCTCCCTTGGAAAGTTTACATTTTAAAGTTTTTCTAGTCTTTTCCGATGATGAGTTATCCCCTCAGAAAATACAAAAAAAACTTTAAACTGGTTATTATTAACCTTCGCACTTAAGAATATCCTTCAATTTAATTCTTGTCTCTAGGGACTAGTGAACTCTAAAAAAG